GAAATGCTTCTTAAGCCTATAATAGGTGGCAGCCACACCAGAATGTCCTCCTAGTGCACTAGAATGACAAGCACTAATCAGCTTTGTTTGTAATGCTGAATTTTGGCCTATCCAAATAGAATTGTGATGCTTAATGAGTCCTTTATCCAGACCAAACCTAGCTTCATTGGGACTAGAGATGGCTAACTGTTTGAGCAATAGTTGTGCCTAAGGATCAGTGGTATAAGAATTGACTACGTCCTGGACCCAAGCTGGTTGGACTGAAGATACTGCCTGAATTGCAAATAAGTGAGCCACCCTAGAAAGAACATCAGCTGCTACATTTTCCTTCCCTTGTCTGTACACAATCTTGAATTGCATACCCATCAATCTGGTCATAGCTTTGCGCTGCATCTCAGAGTGCAGATTTTGCTCATTTAGATAAGCCAATGACTTATGGTCAGTCAGAATAATGAATTCTTGCCTCTACAAGTAATGCCTCCATCTCTCGACTGACATAATTAGAGCAAGAAATTCCTTCTCATAGATGGGCATGGCTTTGTGCCTCTCACCCAAAGCTTTACTGAGGTAGGCAATGGGTTGACTATTTTCCATAAGAACTGCCCCAATTCCATCCTGACAAGCATCAGTCTCCACTGTAAAAGTTTCTTGGAAATTGGGCAGAGCTAAGACTGGTGTTCTAGTTATTGCCATCTTGAGATTATCAAAAGCTGTCTGAGCTGCAGCTGGCCACTCAAAATGTTTGAGTCTAAGCAGTTGAGTAAGAGGCCTGGCCAAAACCCCATAATGCTTGACAAACTTTCTATAGTATCCTGTTAGGCAACGTATCAGGTGCAAACCAACTAACCTGTGCAAATTTAGAAACTACCAATCAGAACCACTAGATGCTGATCCAATAGATGGGGTGAGAGGTGGGATTTTTTTGCGCTTAAGCCCCCCACCCGCCGTCCTTTTTTTTGCACTTAAGCCCCCTCACCCCATCCATTGGATCAGCATCCAGTGGTTCTGATTGGTAGTTTCTAAGTTTGCACAGGTTGGTTGGTTTGCACATGATATGTTGCCATCCTGTTAAGCCCAAAAATGCCCTGACCTCAGTAATATTTGTAAGAACTGGTCAATTTAGCATTGCATAGATCTTGGAAGGGTCTGTGGACACTCCTTCAGAAGAAATGATGTGTCCTAGATACTCCAAGCTATTCTGGCAAAACTGCACTTAGAAGCTTTGAGATAAAGCTGATGTGACCTCAGAGCTGCTAACACTTGAGCAATATGATCAGCATGAGTTTGCAGAGTTGGGCTATAGATCAAAATGTCAAGAAATACCAACACAAATTTCCTCAGAAAGGGCTGTAAAACTTAATTCATCAGGCATTGAAAAGTAGCTAGGGCATTAGTTAGGCCAAATGGCATGACCTTGAATTGATAGTGACCCTGATGAGTTTTTAAAGCTATTTTACGCTCATCTTCAGGTAACATCCTGATCTGGTGATAACCTAATCTCATGTCTAGTTTAGAGAAGAATTTGGAACCAGCAAGTTCATCTAAGATCTCATCAATCACAGGCATAGGAAATCTATTCTTTATAGTCATGGCATTTAGTTTCCTATAGTCTACACAAAACCTCCAAGTGCCATCCTTTTTTTTGACTAAAAGGACAGGGGAAGCAAAATGGCTGTGACTGTGTGCTTATCAGGCCTGCTTGTAATAACTGTTGTACTTGGTTTTCGATTTCAGTTTTGTGTTGGGGGGGGGGAATAATGGTAAGGTTTGGAATTGATGGGTATTGACCCTGGGTTCAGAGAGATGGAATGGTCATAACTGCATTGAGGTAAGGTTTTGGGATCATCAAAAACATCTTTGTATGGGTCTAGGACTTGGGTGATGATGGGTGGATGTGGTGTACTAGTGGATGCTTAGGCAAGGGGTGGTTCAGGGATATAGTCCAACAACACAAACTCCCATATATCATTTCCTTTAGTTGCATTGTATACCTTAGTAGCAGATATGGCAGTGAGGTCCATTGGTGGTTGTAGAAGCCCTTGCAATTTGACTGATTTCCCTTGCTGCTGAAATTCCAGTCTTCTGTACCCAATCACACTACATAGGACTATGTTGCTGCAGCCAATCATACCCCAAAATGGCATCATAAGGGTGCATGTCCAACACAACCATATCAGCAAACAAGGTGTGGCCTTGACAGTACCACTAGAGATCAGGAACCATCCTGTCAGTGACCAACCATTCTCCACTAGCAAGCTTAACCTTCTTTGCAGGCATTGGAATGGTCTGTAAGCCAGCTAACTGCACAAATTGTTTGCTCACAAAACTATGTGAACTACCACTGTCTAGTAAAACCAACATAACTTTGTCTTTCACTTTAGTTTTCAACTTGATGCAAGTGGTGTTTTCACTGCTCGTTATGGCATTGAGAGAAAGCTGACAAAATTATTCTGGTAATTCATCTTCAATAGCTAATTGGTTGAGAACATCATCACTGAGTTCCCTGTCGAGATCATTGATCACTAAAGCATTGGCTTGAGCCTTGCCCCTCTTAGCACACACTCATTGTGGCTAGGTTCATATTTTCCCCACAGTTGTAGCAAAGGCCACTGGCCTTTCGATAGTCCTGGAGCTGTCGATATCACCATAAAGTACTAGCAGCTTGTTGTGGCTTGCCCTCGGGTCTGGGTTGTGGAGCCTGTCTGTGTTGTTGATTTTGCCTTTGATACTTGAACTTGCCTCTATCCAACACTTTCTATTGAATTCTGGCTTTTGTAGCAGCTCTATCAACTGTTGTTGGCACTTGAGGTTCCACTACTGCTCTTATGTCATCTTTCAAGCCACTGACATAATGGGAAGCAAAGAAAAGGTCATCATAATGGCAACAATGCATAATAACATCAAACTGCAATGCCTGAAATTTTGCTGTATAATCCTCCACAGTTCCTGTTTGCTTTAAATCAATCAAGTCAGTGAGAGTTGTTCTATAATCATCAGCACCAAACTTCTGTTCTACAGCAATACAGAACTGTAACCAAGAGATGTTCTCATGAGTTTGCTTGTAAGCTTGAAACCACTTTGATGCATTCCCCTCCAAATGCATGGTTGCTGCTGACACCCAGAGATTCATAGGGATAGAATAAATTGTGAAGTAGTTGTTGCACTTGTCAAACCAAATCTTGGGATGGCTGCCATCAAAAGTTGGGATCTGCATTTTGGGTAAGGTATGATGGGGTAAGGAGTCTTGATCATTGTTGTCAGGCTTGGTCCAGGGCTTTTTTGATGGCCCTGGTTTAGCATTACTCTTGTGCTTAGCAAAGACATTCTCAAATTGGGGTTCTTCATCATCAAATAGAACAAATCCTGAACTCTCACTGTCAGATTGTGCTTCTTCATCAAACTGACACAGAGTCAACTGAGCCACAACTTGGCCATTGACCTTAACCTGCTGAGCAATGAACTTATGATCCTTAGAGCACTGATCCACCTTACTGCTATTAGCCTGCAATTGAGTCTTCAACTCTTGCTGAATTGCCCCAATGTCATTCACACGCGAGAAGAGAAGATCGAAACTGTTGACCAACTGATCCCAGCGCGACTGCTCTTCACCAGCACTCTTAGACATCTGATCCAGCAGTATTTGCATATGTTTTCATGGCTTGACCGAAGCCGCGGTGGCTGTCGATGAAGAATCCGTGATGGCAGATTGGTGATACACAAGTTTGGATGAAATCCTCCCCTATTGCGTGCGTCACCCAAATATCAACACCGCCGCTTGGAAGTGAGGCGCTATCGAGGAATTATTGCGTGCGTCACCCAAATATCAACACCGCCGCCTGGAAGTGAGGCGTTACACGGGAACAAGCGCCCCGCAACCCAAATCGTCGGACACTTCCCCGCCAAACACCACCGCGCCGCAATTGAACCAGATCGCTACGGAATTTTACACGAGAACAATCGTCCCACAACCCTCGCTACTGATCCAAGCGTGCTAGAGAAAATCAAAACGAGCCGAATAGAGTAAGCTCACAGTGGGTATATGCCTCCGATCCCCAAGTCGATGCCGAACCCCAGTCGAATATAGAAGCTGAAGATGAAAGTGGAAGGACGTTGGAGCTCAAGGCAGACGAAAACTGCCGACCCAATTCCACCAAAGAGTGGACCTACGGGACCTCCAGCACAGCACCACTCGGATGCCGTCGGGGATCAACCAGCCACCTGGAATTACGAATCAAGATCTAGGCAAATCGAAATCGAAGTCGCTAAACGAGAGCGTACCAACGAGAAATAGTGGATCTGTGGTAGAGTGGTGATGGAGTCGCTGCTGGTCGCCGGAAATTCCGCCGCCACACCGACTGGATAACTAGCGTTGGAGGTGAGCCGATGAAGCCCGCCGCCTGCGCCGAGGAAGGACCGTCTCCGATACCACCTGTAACACCCGTGGCCGCCGGCATCAAGCCGTCGACGTGAGCACGACAGAGAGATACGGATCTAGGACGAACGCCGGCGAGGACAACCTCGACCGAGACGTGTTCGAGTTTGATATTAATCTCGATAGTTTCTTCTCTTACAAGCACTGGCATTTGTATGCCCAACAGAACACTGGCCATCAGGCCCTACATGTCATACATGGAATTTAAACGTAAAATAGAGAATACGCTTTCTACTAGACTTGACGCCTTCCTTCAGTCATCACCTCCTACTCCTACTGTGTACCGTCCGTTACACTCTCCAGAGTTGATAAGGATTGACCGGCTAGCATAATCCGTTGGCAGGTATATATGATGATGATCGACCATTCAATTCTGATGAAGCTGAACCTATCATACCATACAGATTCTCTCATACAGCAGAATCTTATTCTTCATAGCAGACACATTTAAAATTTGTTCAGTACATGGTTGCACAACACACAACAGCATACACAAATTGGCCAGAATGCAGCGCGAGTGTTGAGAGACACCTGGTGGCCCTGATCCTACCATAGCATCTTCAGTTACTTACTTGCCGATATTCTGGTACTTGTACAACCTGGCACACAACATGTAGTAGCCGAAGTTGAGAGACACCAGGACGGCGAGCAGCCAGTAAAGGTTCTCCAGCCTGGACGCGTTCATGTTGTCCGGCAGCCAGGCCGTGGCGCGCCGGACAATGCCGACGAGGGCCGTGCTAAGGTAGAACCCCAGCGCGACGATCATGGCTACCATGCCTGTGGCCGTGTTCTTGAGGGAAGGGGGAAACTCCTGGTAGTACAACGTCACCTGACCGGGGAAGTGCAGAGCCTCGCCGAACCCTGACAGAGCAAACGGCAGGAGCAGTCACATGGCCGACAGCGGCGACACCCACGCCGGGTTGCCCTCCTTGCCGTGCGCGTGCACGGTGCCCAGGCGCCGGCGCTCGATGACGGCGGACGCGGCCATGCTGACGATGGTGATCACGTGGCCGGCGCCGATGCGCTGCAGTGGCGTCGGGTCGTGCCTTACGAGGCGCCGCCACAGAGGGAGGAGGACACGGTCAAGGAGGCCGAGGGAGACGACGACGGCGATGAGGGTGCCAACGATCATGGAGCCCGCCGGTATGACGAAGCGGCCGACGGCGCGGTCCATGACGAGCGCCTGCAGGATGGTGAAGTTGATCTGCACGCCGATGGCCACGGCTTAGAAAGATGGCGGCGCTCCACAGCGGCAGGATGCGGAGCACCGTCTTCAAGTCCTCCACTTGCTGCACCGTGCACACACGCCACGGCAGGGTCACCGTCGACCCGTCCGCGGCAGCTACGGTGTCACCGTCCGTGATCAGTGCGGCGCGGTTCAGGAAACTACAATACAATGAAGTGTTGTTAGCGATGTTAAACTGGTCTCATACACCGTTGACCCGTCCTTCGGCCCTGTTCGCTTCTATTGAACAATATTTTTTTCTCATAATAAATCAGCTAAAATAGCATTTCGGTTTGTTTTTTCAGCGAAGGGCCGAAACCTATCCGTGGTTGCCACTACATCTTGCAGCGCGTTTAGTTCGGCCCGAATCGGCATTTGCACAGTGTTTGATGTGACGGCAAACACTGTAGCAATTTCGCTTGCATTTGTGAATTATTGTCCAAACATTGACTAATTAGGCTCAAAAGATTCGTCTCGCAAAGTTCAACCAAACTGTACAATTAGTTTTTGATTTTATCTACATTTAGTACTATATACATGTACCGTAAATTTAATGTGATAGAGAATATTCTTTTTACGTGGTGCCAAAGTCGAGGGTTCGGGGAACTGTTGCTTCGCCCTGGCGATGTGTTGCAATCTGTTTTTTCAATTTTGTCTCACACAAGACCACCAATCAAATCTGTCGTACGCAGGCATATACGTCACATTAATTGATAGAGCAATCAAATCGTGTTGATCCGACAGAATTATTAATTTGAAAGCACAGGAGGCAGGACGCAGGACGTTATCACCTCAGCTGACAATAATACCTAATTTTTTTTGTTATAAAAATCCATGTCATGGGTGCTATTCTAGTTTAAGTCAGGCCTTATATCATCTTGATATAATGCTCTTGAACTTAAAAAAAAACTTTTCCTGTGCAAATTAAAACAATTGTCGTGGACTTCAGCGCTACGAAGATATCAACAGCTCAACCCCCAATTGTGGGACCTGAGCGCTATGAAGCTATCAAAGCGCCGGATGGATGTGATGCTGCAAATAATTTCTACTGACACGCTGGATGTGCAGTGTGTGTATATATATATATTTGAATGTAAAATTCAGTATTTTGCCGGTCTCAATGGAGTTTTACGAGAGTTTAATGAGCACTAAATAAGCTGATGTGGCATAATATTAATGAAGAGAGATAATATAAATGTTTCATAGGATGAAATAAGTGGGGATAAAACTTGTTTGCATTATTTCCAACACCGGAGAGTCTTTGAAACAGTGACATGAAACCCCGCTGAAAAGGGAAGAGATCGCGGGAAGGACATCAGCTACGGGTCAGGGAAGGAGGTCGTGGTGGAGGTCCATGTATGGAGGCTGCGGGAGCATACCGAGGAAGGAGGTTGTGGGGGCGGTGCGGGGAAAGGAGGCGGCGATAGATGTCCCAGCGAGGACATCGCGGGGCGGAGCAGAGGAAGAGGTCGCTTGCACGGAAGGAATCACAGGGGCAGCAGAGGAGAGGAACAAGCTAAGAGGGCGTGCAGCCAAACAGTACAAAGATGTGGGGAGAAGCTACTGACAGGCATACCTGTGTATATTGGGGTTAATGTATTTGTAATTTGCTGCAACAACTCTTCCAATAATTCAAAAGGTAAGATTGACGGTCACCAATACTGTCATATTGGGGATGCATTATTGGTGATGCGCTAGAGATGCTCTAAGTATAGGTTCTTGGTCACAACTACTCCCTCGGTCCCCAAAAATTAGAAGTCATTCTAATCATTATAATTAACGGGAAGGTAAAATGATATAGGTGTCCCTCTGTGTAAGGGCAATCCCAGCCGAGAAACTAGGATGATTTTACAGATATTAATTAAGGTGTCATATAAACAAATTAGTGATGTGGTATTAGAATTAAGGAAGAGATAGAAATAAATGATTTCTTATATAAGAAACTATGTCTATACGAGAATCAAAATAGAAAGAGATGTAATAGGTGGATGATAGGAGATAGAAGACAAGTGATTGGATAAAACATATTTTGAAAGAGCTATCAATTTTGAAATATGGCGTTTGTTATGCTGTCTACATGACTTCGCAAGTATGAAGTGATATATCTTATAGTCCTGAGTTGGGACTGCGTATTTTTTTTTTCAAATTCTCGTAGTTAACCGCATGCACGGGTTTGGTTGGCGCCATTTTTACTGGCCGCTGATCCAAAGGATTGGTTCGCCAACCATGCAAAGGAGTGCTCATGGCCTCCCAGTTGATGATGTCTACAGTACAGGTTAGAATGAGGATTTTTAGGAAAAATCTTTAAATGCAACGTGACTATCTTAACCCTTGTTTGACTGCAGCACTCCTATCTATTTGTTTCCGGTGGATTAAGTGTAGTCAAATAAATCATTAGCCTAGTCCCAATAGAATTCCAAAGGAGTTTTGTTCTCATTTAATGCAGTGAAACATCAGCAAATTTGCTCTGTTAGCAACTTAATTGTGAAGAGAGGTAGAAATTTTCATAGGGTTTTATCTAGATTGAAACCTATTATCACAGTTATCGATACAAAAGTCAGACATGATAATCCTAATAACTGTATTGTAAAACTTTTTGCTGAGACTGTCTAAAGAGGAAGTGCTTATGACTGTCCTTGTAGAGAAAGGGAAAGTGCATATATGTACTACTACTCAATATTAATGCAACGAATCCTTGTAGTTTGATGCTAGCTGGCTCAAACCACCTGGTCCATTCCTATCCCAACTCCCAAGGGAATCAATCAAATCCAGGCCATCATGTATACTTCTTCGGTCTCTACATATTTGTTGTTATTGGTTTGCATGCCCTAAATTTAACTAGATTTATAGAAAATATTAGCAATATTTGTATCAATAAATAAATTTATTATAAAAATAGATTCAATGGTCTATCTAGTAATATTAAATATATACCATGAATATTTATATTTTTTAATAATAAATCCAGTTAAAGTTATTTTTTGAAGCGAGAACCACAGTTAATAAGGGACGAAGAGAGTTTTTTTTTTCTTCAATAGACTGAGTATATAATTTTCTGTGGTTGTTAGACTAATCATGCTACCAATAATTAACCTTAATCAATTGGTACATGACCCTACCCAGTACCATTTATTTTTACCGTACAGTGCACTGCAGGTTTTCTCCCATTTTTCTCCCAAAAACTCATGCTACAATGCCACCACATCCTCCTTTCACTATGTATTTGGTTTGGGCACCAAGTGGGTTAGGTTGGATCCAACCTAGGTTTATAGGATGGGATGAACCCTTCTCATGTTTAGTTAAGGGTTGGGTTGAACCCAGTTCTTTGTTTGGTTGCAAGGTTCAAGAGGGACGAAATGGACGTCATTTTGACACCGTTAACAGTACCATTAGTGGGACCCTGAAAGCTCTAGTTTAGTTTTGGTTAATTAATGAAACCCTATGTGCTAACCTATTTCTCTAAGTGATCATGAGATAGGGTGGCACATTCCAAGTGGTGGAGCAATTGGATGAAGATCATGTTGGTGGACATGTGATGATGGTGATCAAGCTACGGACATGAAAAACAAGAAAGAGAAAAATAAAATGGGCTCAAGGCAAAGGTATAATTATAGGGCAATTTTATTTTGGTGATCAAGACACTATAGAGAATGTGATCATATTTAGGATAGATGGTCGTACTATTAAAAGGGGAGCTCTTATCGGACAACTCGATCATCTAGTGCCACTAGGTGTTGGAAAACTTGTATTTGCATTTTAGGCCTAGTGCACATTTGGTGAGAAGTGATTAACCTTTGAAAAATGATTGTGAAAATGCTAACATACTTACACGTGATGGTGAAACACTTGGAGTGTTAGCACATTTGCAAAGGTGGTGAAAAGGCAAAGAAAAGGAGGTGTAGCTGGGCTCAAGGTGCTGCCCCGGGGGCACCGTCATGCCCTGTCCGGTGCACCGCCACCCCTGTAGCGGTGATTGGTTGGAGAAGGCCGAGAGGGAGGTGCTGGGTGGCACCGCCACCCCTAGGGCGGTGCCCACCTGGCCCCCACTGAGAAGAGGCAGAGAGAAGGGTGGCACCGACGTGTCCAGTGTTCATCGCCTCCACGAGGGCGGTGCCACCGCCGCTTTTATCCAGAGACTAGGGGAGATGAGGTTGGTCACCGCCATGGGCACCGCCGCCCTGAGGGAGGTGCACCGCCGTAATTTTCCAGAGAGGGTGTTTTCTAGAGGGCTGGATAGGTGGTCACCGCCACCCATAGGGCGATACCACCACCACCCTGTCCGGTGCCTCAACGGCTAGTGAGCCATTGGATGACCGTTGGAGAGGGCACCGCCATGTCCGGTGACCTCGCAAAAACTAGCTCCAAGGGGTAACGGCTCTATTTGCTTGTGGGCTTATGAATAGAGGTGGTGGCTGACCTTGGCCACTCTCTTGGCACTTCCCACACCTGTGTACACCCATTGGGAGCTGAGTACACCACTCTACTCACTTGCACACTTGATTTCATCATCTTGAGTGAGATTGGAGAGCCACTAGTGCATTGCTTAGTGTTCTGGCATTTTGTGGCACTAGTTGGGTGATTTGGGCTGGTGGAGAACTTGTTACTCTTGGTGTTTGCTGACACCTAGACGGCCTAATGATTGGTGGATTGTCGAGCAGAGGAAGGTGATTGTCTTCGACTTCGGATCATTGTTATTGTGAGGGGTTCTTGTGCCTTCCCTGGCGGAGCGCCAAAGGCAACTCTAGTCGATTGCGCGTGGCTTGTGGATCCTCATCTTGTGTTGGTTGTTTGGCACCCAGTTGCGGGTTAGGTGTGTGATGCCTATTAACGCGTGGACCTCCAAGTGAGTGAATCACCACAACAGGGACTAGCTTGTCGATAAGCAAGTGAACCTTGGAGAAAAAATCATTGTGTCTTCATTGTCTCCTTGGTATTCTTGGTATTAATTG